ATTTTTGCTGTCATTTTTGCACCCTGGTTGGGCAGGTAAAGGCCCGCGGCGGCCGCTGTGTAAAAATGGCGGGAAAGTGTTTTGCAGCGTGCAAACATGACGCCCAAATTGATTCTGGGCCCTGCCGCACCTTTTTCCCAGATCGGGGGGAAAGGTTTCGTGCGGGAAGGTTCGATGACTTTTCCGTTTTTTTTTCCCACTCAAAATTCTACCGGCGGGTAAATCATGCCCCGAACCGCAAAAATGAAAAAAGAAAAAGAAAAAGAAACGCAAGACAAACGAGAGCGAAACAACTGAGGTAAAAAATTCTTCAACTCTACCCTGCGGTCTTGTAATATGTTAGTTCCCACTACTCAACCCTCCCCCCTCCCCACCACCAATCAACCTAAGTTCCATGGGAAAGGCTCGTACTGCGGGATTAAATTCGATGATCTCTCTCTTGTGATGGCTGTACTTACCACTTGGTAAAGTCCGTAAGCTCTCTCTCTCTCTCTCTCTCTCTCTCTCTCTCTCTCTCTCTCTCTCTCTCTGCGTGTGTGTGTGTGTGTCTGTGTGTGTGTACTGAAGGTAAGCTATATTTTCTCTCTCTCTCTCTCTCTCTCTCTCTCTCTCTGTGTGTGTGTGTGTGTGTGTGTGTGTGTGTGTACTAAAGGTAAGCTATATTCTTCTCCAAAAATCACCCCTACTCTTTTCGCGACTCTTTTGATGTTCCTGTAGGTCGCTTACAAGGTGGTCTGTCTATGCATTATAGGGCAGACAAGCGCATGAGGAAGACTCGAGTGGAATGCAAAAGACAGCGGAACAAGCAAGGCCAAAGGGGAGCGGATCTCGCTCTCTCTCTCTCTCTCTCACACACACACACACACACACACAAAACTAACACACACACACAAAACACACGCACACAAAAATAAAGACACACACACACATACCTTGGCTCGCTTGCCCACGCACTCGACTCTGCCGTCACGCGCCAGCACGCCCTCCCGAGTCTCCAATCGATCTATGGCCTGCACGCGCACCGCTCCTCCGCCACCTTCCGCCCTTCCGCCCGCCTGTTTACTGATAGCATTCGCTCCTTACTTTTCCTTTTTTTTTCTTTTTTTTTTCTCGGAGCATTCACTCTTTACAGCGACGCCGTGGGCTCAAGGAATCACGCCGGTTTGAGGGTGTCACCCCAAACGAAAAGCGAAACAAGCGCATCTCGCACAGAAAATGGACAGGTTCATCCGTTTGGGATGTATAGGGCCCCACAGCGCTCTCGAGGGGATAATTTGTGGAAGGCGCCCACGCCGATACCTTTTTCTGGTTTTCGGACTTTTTCTGGTTTTCGGTACACAGGCCCTCCGATGTGAAATTCTGAAGGCCGATTTCGAGAGTAGTGCAGCGAGGCGGGGAGAGGCGTTCGGCCGGCGCGGAGCGCTCAGCCGCAGCGTTACCGGTCCGGGAGGCCCGGTCTTACCAGCCTCCACTTCGGCACGCAGCTGAACGAAGCGGTCGTCGTCCAACCATCTCTCTCGGCTTTCATAGCCGAGTCAACCTGAGGCGTCAACGAATCACGGAGACATGGAGACGATTGGTAAGTCAGAATCAGACGTGTGAACTTTCTCCTTTAATGAGTAACATGCCTGAGCGCCCTGTCTTTGATGCGGTCAACGCCGGCTAGTGTACGTCAAACACACAGAGAGGATTAGGGTTTCCCCTGTGGGCAACTAAAGCCTATAGGTTATCCCGACGATCTTCCCTCCACTTTTTCTCTTTCCTCCCTTCCTGCCTCAGTCCTAACCCGCTCCACGACTTAACCCACCTACGCCACTTGCGATCTCCTCCTATCGGTAGAGAACTGACCCAACGCACCGTCCCCACGAATCATGTCGGCTCCTTTGCAATCACCTGTTAAAGTCAACCTGTAGTCCCCGGAACAGGGCAGGGGTAGGCAGAAGAGGAACAGACGGCGGTTTGCCGCCTCTGCTTCACTCCCGCGCGCAACAAAGGCCTCACGAATTGATCTTGGTATCGAACTTACCGCCCGACCAGGAATGATCTCGTTCGGAGCGCTCACCGAGATATTGGGGTTATCTAGTACAGCCGTTATTTTCGTAACAGGTCTCGGTTAATAGCGAGCTGCTGTCTCGGTGAACAGATAACAGCACGTACGTATCCACTCAGCAACGGACGACGAGAATCTAGCCCCCCTACCATTTGTATGCGTTCCGTAAGGATTAATCATCCTCTCCGAGGGTAAATAGAGACAATTGATCTGACAAAGCCCCCGACTCTGAGGCCCTCCTTGATTTCTTCCTACCCCCCTCCTCCCAAAATCACAGGTGCTTAACCTTACCCCCCAAAACCTTTACCACGGTGTCAAACACGGTGTTATGGCCTCCAATGGGGAAGCGGGCCCCTCGAGGACGCAGGCTGCTGTCCCTGCCATCTCCAATGAAGACATGGCACGTATTCACACCTTGCTTGATTCATGCTACGACGACGGGTTATTCCCCGAAACCACATTCTCACACGGGGACATCGAGATCTCTGATGGGATAGGCTACCTGAACCTGAGTGAGGAGGTAGACACAGCGACCTTAGCATGGCTCAAGGATAGGACAGTCATCGTAATTTTCGATGCCAGGTCGGCCAATTTATCAGTTGCTCAAAGAGAACAGTTTATCAGAATTTATGAGGACGCGTGGGTTCAGGACTCAGCGATTAATCCCTGACAAAAACGGGGGCGTACTCACGGGGAAGGCCCAAACATCCTATCTTACGTTGCTCGCACAGCAAGGATCGCCCAATGGATGATAACCAAGGGCGAGGATTTCATCCCCTCGAGACAGGGCCCGATCAAGGTCACGTTTCGACCATGGATGACTCAACAAGAATTGAACGAACTGCGAGACTCAAAAGCCGCAGCGAGATTCCGCATTATAGCCTTGCGAGTGCCGTTGGGAGCTCTGTTCTCCCTTCGTAATGCAGTAGAGCAGCTGATGGGCCCAATCATAACGATGCACCCGCCAGACAGAAGGGCTGATGAACCTCGCTTAGGCAATGTTAAGATTGACTGTGTAACCGGGGGTGAGGGTAACCTTCATGGAATGGGTGGCCTTACGGAGACCGACAGGACAGGAGATGCGTGTACAGTTCGCCAATCTGGACACTCCGTTTTGTCAAAAATGCCTGTGGTGGTACCACGACGAATTTGACCCGGAGTGCCCGCGTTTTAACGAACCGATGCCGCAGGGAAGGAGGAGTAGAGGTAGAGGACGGGGTCGCACCCAAGGAGGAGAGCAGGGAAGACAGCAAGGGAGAGCACGAGGGCCTGGCCCTGCCGCACCCCAACCCAATCCAGCACCACCCCCCCCCCAACCCGCAGCACCCGTTCAACCATTTCCTTCACAACACAACCTCCTTCAGCCCTTGCCTTGTTCCGGTCTCACGGTACAAAATCCGAGAGCCCCACATCCGTCAGTCACAACCGCATCCCATGCCATCGTGCCATACGAAACGCGAAGCTTGTGCCCACTACCCATCCAATTGGGCCTCCCCACCATCCCCAACCACCCGGCTCAGCCGGCTGTCCAGCAGCAGCAACCCCCCGGTCTCCCACGTCCCCCATCGACCCCACACACACATGTGAGCCGTCCAGCAGCAGCAACCCCCCGGTCTCCCACGTCCCCCATCGACCCCACACACACATGCTGCCACGCATGCCCATGGCCTTCTCAGATCCCCCCCACTCATCACCATCCAAGCTGCACTACCTCCTCCCCCTCTTCAGCTCACAGGCACAATTCACCAAACCCAGGGGGCTACACAGGGCTCCAACTTCCCCAGTCGCCCAGCAATCGGCCAGAACCACCCGGCACCTTCCAACCTCAACGTAGGGCAGGAACACGCACGGCACAGAGATTCATGGGGCACAATCCGACCCCCTCAAGACTCCACCCAAATCCCGACACAACGACAGACACCCTCTCCTAATGATCTCACTTTCTCCACACCCTCAGCAAGCCATCAGACCACTCAGGCCATGATGACAGCTGGCCCAAGTACCACGCAGCAGACAGTGCCCACACAGCACTTCAGAACTTACCTTAATTCAACTTATGAGCCGCAAGTGCTTCTATCGGGAAACCAGGGCATCGACCAACTGCAGCCACGAGCTGTTGAACAATCCGAGGGGAGAAATGATGGCTTGGCAGGCGGCGAAGGAGTAGGGCCAAACAGACCAATCATGACAGACGCCACTATGAGGGATGTCAGACCAGTCCTGCGCACTCCTATGAAGCAGAGAAGGATTAACGAAGATGGGGACGGGCTGACCACACAAGAGGAAGACGAGGGGGAGGTCGATTTTTTCTCCATCCCTATAACGCCAGGGGCAGCTCACCAGACACACGCAGTGGGTACTGCACGTCTACAGCCAACAGCAACGGCCTCTGCAGAGTTGTCAACGACCCAGCTCTCCAATGGGGGACCAGCTGTTGGAACTGTCAGTCATCAACTTATCCAGCTATGCTGTATGTTAACACCTCAAGGCACCAAGTTCATGGCCAAGAGAACTGATCAAGGACAACTGGCAATTCCTACGGTGGCCGTTAATGCCTCTCCGACCACCAAAGAGGCTGTGAAGTCTGCAGCAACCACTTTTATTGCTGACCGGTTCCCCTTCCGACTGGTGCCAGGGGTGAGGATAGGCAGGAAAACTGTGGCAGCAACACTTGGAGGTAGCTGGCACTTCTCGATAGGAGTGCTGGATGCGAAGATTACCTTGGATACAGCGACCTCGTTAGCCACTCAGGGAGTGGTGTGGTTGCCCTCCTCATGGCTTGCGAGCACAGCAACGGAAGAACCTCAGGAGATCCTCCTCACCACTGACGTCAATGCCAAAATAGTAACAGACTTCTCCTGCTCATTGGCCACAGACAAACATCCCAACTCTCCGGCCTTCCGAAACATGCTCCTGGCACCATGGGCCAGTCTTGCAGAAGCAGAAGCAGCGAGAAGACAGAAGACAGCAGCCAGACAACAAGCCGAAGGGACGCTGCGGATCCAAGACTCAGTCGCCTCAGCAACACCGGATGCCCAACCTTAAGATCACAACATGGAATGTGCGAGGCCTTGGGGACTCGACCCCCAAGCACAAGAAAGCCAGACTTAAAACCTGGCTGCACAAGCATAAGATACAAGTCTGTTTCTTGCAGGAAACCAAGTTGGACGAAGGGAAGCTGCAGCAACTCGCAGGATGGTGGAGAGGACCTCAGACATGGGCGCCGGCGGACGGAACAAGAGGAGGCAGCACTATTCTGATACACAGGGATCTTGAGGCGGAAATCCTGGAACATGATGCAAACATTTGGGAACACTGGGCCTGGGTTAGAATTCAGTTGGGTGCAGAAGACTGGGTTCTCATGACCGTTTACGTACCGTCTGAACCAGCGGAGCGAAGGTCCTTCCTGGAGAAATTGCCAGCCATCATCCCATCGGCGCAGAACCTTATTCTTGCAGGTGATTTTAACGTGGTGCTTACTCCAGGGCTGGATTCCCCAGGGCCAGAAGTAGCACCCAGGAAGGCAGACGCAGTGACACTGTCCAACTTAATGGAACAACAACAGTTGGTGGACACATTCAGGACAACCCACCCACTCGAGGCAGGCTATACATGGTTCTCTTCACAGCAAACAGGCGACCGCCTACCACCAAAGAGAAGTTTGGACCTGCTGCTGGCCAAGGGAGCGGCGTGGGAAGCTCTCACAACTGTGGAATGCTACATTGAGTACCTCTCAGACCATAGGCCGCTAGTAGCTGCTTTCAAGTTGGCGGATGACCTGATCAGAGGAACAGGAACTTTTCGATTGAATACGGAGCTGCTTAACACCCCAGAAGTTCTGCAATGGGTGGAGGCACATTGGAGGGATTGGCAACAAACAAAGGACTGGTTCACAACGGAGGAAGAGTGGATGCAGGTGGGCTTCCGGATGGTGACGAGGGCCCTGGATGTCTTCTCAAGAGTCCAAGCGAGAGCAAGGAGACAGCAAGAACAGGAGTGTAGATGGAAGGTTGAAGAGGCGGAAGTGGAGCTGGAATTGAATCCCCTAGCAGAGCTATATTGGCAACGCAGAAGAAACCAGGCGCTGCAGCAGTTGGAGGAGCTGCAGATTCAGCAGCAAATCCTATGGGCCAAGCGAGCACAGGAAAGAGGGATGCAAACGGGGGACCGTATGACCAAGGAGACCTTCCAACGACTATGCCCGCCACGTTCGCATGCGTTGATGAGGGAACTCCAACACCCATTTCACCTAGAGGCACCTGTAGCTAAGGATTCCGAGGCCATGGGTGATTATGCACTCACTTACTTTAACGATATACTCACCTCTCGGCGTCAGCCTGATCAGACACTGCAAGAATTGATGGTAGAGCATAACTTGTGGCAGCACACCCGAGTGGGCATTTCGCAAGAGTGCAGGGACAATTTGGACCAGCCAATCACACTTGAAGAGCTCTGGGAGGCGGTCAAGAGCATGGCAAGGGGCAAGAGCCCGGGATCAGAAGGGCTGCCTGTAGAGTTCTACGAAGCACTTTGGCCCCACATAGGGCCCATCTTGCTTCGGCTCTATAACCGGACCAAAGAGGGGGGTAGGTTAACTGAAGACATGAAGCTGGGATTATAACACTGATCTACAAAAAAGGGGACAAAAGCAACGTGCGTAACTGGCGCCCTATTTCCAGACTTAATGTCTCATATAAGATACTGGCCAAGGTACTGGCCAGGCGGCTGGCCCCCCTTCTCCGAGATCTGATCCATACTGACCAAGGTGCTTTTGTACAGGGACGGTCCATTGCCGAGAATATTATGATGACCGTGGGCGCATTGGAGATAATTCAAAGGGAACAGTGGCAAGTCATAGTGGCCATGTTGGATCTAGAGAAGGCCTATGACAACGTTAATTAGTCCTTTGTCCTGGCAACATTGGAACACACTGGCTTCGGTCCGATGTACCGCTGTTGGGTGAAGGAACTTTACGCTGACTCCACTGCCACTGTTAGCGTCAACGACTTTTTGTCTCCATCCTTCTCGCTCATGCGCTCGCTGAGACAAGGATGTCCATTAGTTTCACTCCTCTTCGCCTTACAAATGGAGGTATTTCTCAACGCCCTCCGAGCCTCTCCGCGTATACAAGGGTTAGACTTGGGGATACAAGACCGTCTGCTAACAGGAGCGATAGCTGATGACCTCTTACTCGTTATGGAGGCGACCCCACAGTCAATGCAGGAGGCTAAGCTCATTTTGGACCAGTACGCAAAGCTGTCCGAGGCACAGTTCAACTGGGGTAAGTCTGTATACTTCCTCCCAGGCAGAAATGACCTACAGGGACAAGACTGGGGTATGAAGTGCATCCCCACCACCATCTCAAAGCGGTATTTGGGTGTCCAGGTGGGCCTGCAGGATGCACGACTCAAGCAAGACTCCATCTTGACTGCAAAAACGCAAGCAAGCCTGCAAAGATGTATCATTGCTATTGGGCTTTCACTCTTTAAAAGGGCCATGATCACCACCTCCCTTGTTTTTGCACAACTCTGGTTCGCTGCCGCAATCTTCCTGATTTCTAAACCGACACTCAAGCAAATTGTAGCTGCTGCAACCAGATATCTGTGGAAGCCAGCAGCGCAAGAGGGTCAACGCTATATCTCCAAGTGTGCATGGGCTAAGGTGACTGCACCAAAGGACGACGGAGGTCTGGGAGTCCTCGACCCGGAAAGCCAAAGCTTGGCCCCGCTCATGAAGTGGCTGGTCAAAGCAGCGCTGCAAACAGAGCGTCGTGCATGGTTCCCAGTGCTGGAATATATCTTGCAGCAGGAACTCTCTGTAACGAGAAGGCAGGATGTCTGGGCCTGCGTCTTCATGCCCTCAATGACACGAAGACATCTGAGCTCACCAATGGCAAGAGCCTGTTGGGTTGCGTGGCGAGCCCTTACCCCACCATACCATAAGGAGCCAATGACACAGGAGGAGGTATCGCGACAATTACTGTTTGACAACCCGCAGATCACGAACACAGCAGGAGAGGTCTTCCCAGCAACCGCTGCGCCAGACAACTTTGGCAGGAGGTGGGTAGAGAAAGGTACTGTGCGGATTGAGGATTTGTGGGAAGAAGGGGAGAAAGATTGGATATCCACCGACGGTTTGAAACAGATAGTGGGCAATCTGCATTTCGTCCAGGAAAGGAGACAGTTGTTAGTGGAAGCGATTCCGCAAGACTGGAAGGAAAAGCTCATGGCGCCAAGGCCTGTGGAAGGAGAATGGTACCGGAATCCGGAGAGTGTGGAACATTACTCGGCCATACGGATCACAGAACAGCAGGAAGATGGCACGTGGCAGGCAGAGGAATGACAGACCCCTGCTCACCTCACTGCTGCCAATTTGCAACTGCAAGGGGCGATCTCCATCCAGGAACTCGACAATCTACAACTAATACGAGTTGCCACCAGCTCAAGAGATCCTAACCAATGTGTACATCAGCTACTGCTGGCAGGGAGACCAGTGAGACAGCAAATAATCGACCCTCAAGCCAAATATTGGAAGCTCCCCACAGGACAAAGGAGATACCTTTCGCAACATTCGACCCATCTAGGTCGAACAATGCTTGGCAACTCCAATGCCCTGCCTGTTGAGGTGGCTAACCGAACCAATAGACACAGCACTGTGGTAACGCCCATCTCCGATGGACATCTTCGAACACTATGGGCTCAGCTCCCTTCTCTCCCTTCCTTGAAGCTCTCAGGGTTGTTGTGGCTGATCTCCCACTCTGCAGTACCAAGCTCAGTTTGGCTCTTCGAGAAGGGCATGGAGATAGAAACCAAAGGTCGACGCTGTGGGCGAAGACAGGAAGAAACTCTGCAGCACCTCTTCTGGGCATGCCCAGCCTCGCATTGCATTTGGAAGTGGTGGGAGACTCACTGGTTCGAATTTGTGGGGCCCATCGTAGCATGGGACGAAGACTGGGCGATGTATGGAAGGATCCCTGAAACCTGGTTTAAGCTCAAAGGAAGGGGCTATGTTGCCCAGGCCATTCGTTCAGTCATCATTTGGGTCATCTGGGAGTATAGGAACAAGATCCTATTCCATGCGGAATGGACCAACGACTCCTCCCTGATCCAAAAAATCAAAGTATGGATACGGACGATGATCCAGGTCGATTGGGTAAGGCGAGCAGCAAGGTGGCGAACTTCCAGAGGAAGGCACTGGTTCCTGGTCACTTGGGCAAGGGACAACATGCTGGCGGCAGTAACCCTGGAGGGCGAAATGGTCATTTCCCCGTGGCTTAAGTCGTAGTTAGATTCTTCTCCCACCCTCTTTCCACCCCGCCTGTACTCTCATTTATCTGCTGCGTCTTCTCCCTCCTTTCTACACTTTGACTCCCTCAGCTGTGCTTTGTCTTTCACCAAGTTACTTTGTTCACGAACCAGGGCACTCGGTTCCTGTCGGCTGGTGCAGTAGCCAGCTTAGGGGAGGAGGGTGGAGAGTGACCTTTTTCGGGCCGCGGGTAGGCCCGTGTACGTAGCTTTACGAATAGAGTAGACATTGATTGCCTATTGTGGTCTTTTCTCATGATTTGCCAGGCCTATGAGGCTTAGAATAGGAAGTTGCTCATAAGCTAAACCGGTTGACGTTGCCGGGATAACTCCGGGTTGAATTGTGAGGTCCCCGGCCTCTGATTGTTGTTTTGGAATATGAAACATTTGTGCATTTTTCAAAAAAAAAAAAAAAAAAAAAAAAAAAAAAAAAAAAAAAAAGAAGGCCGCTGGCTCGGTTGAGTGCGTCCGCACTGGGGATAATTGGTAAAAAGCGCCCAAGCCAAAACCTTGTCGTTTTTGGACGCCTAAAACTCGGCCGTTTGGTACTACCGGCCCAATGTTTTCCATGTGGGGTACTACAGGCCTGCGCGTCGCTCGAAGGGCCCTACCGGATCACGAATCTGGCGCATACACATGGCGTATACACAGTGCCAGATTCGTTTTAATGTCGAAGAGGGCCGCTGAAGGATAGAATGAGGCCCACTTACAGTATTTTGAAAAAGAAGGGCCCTACCGGTTCATGAATCTGGCACAAAAACAGTGCCAAATCGTTGAACCGGTAAAAACAGGCCCATTGAAAAAGAAGGGCCCTACCGGTTCATGAATCTGGCACAAAAACAGTGCCAAATCCTTGAACTGGTAAAAACAGGCCCAGGGAGATGTGGACACGGAGAAAAAGGGGCCTTTCACCCAGGCTGAAGACGTTTAGGCCGGTAGTACCGAATGGCCGAGTTTCGGGGTTTTGGCGTGGGTGCTTTCTACCAATTATCCCTTGGCAACCAGTAAAACATCTGCCATAGGAATGAGCCATATTGGAATCTGCGGCGGGGAGTGGTGGCTGAAACACTAGCGTTGCGCTACCGGTTGTAGCCACCGAATAGCGGTGCTCGGCGCTAGTGAAAATTTGCCGACACTTTCACGGCGCAGTACAGAGTCTGAGTTACTGTTGCCAAGTGAAAGCATGGACGACGGTACTGCTGCGCCGCTGTTGTGATCAGCAAGGCGAGAGCGAGTGTACGGCAGATCTCCATCGCTTAGCACGCCCCACGAGGGCTTGGGACATGGCTGCCCCCTAAGGAACATGTTAGGTTCACCTCTTCCTTGAGTGGAAGAGAGAGCGTTAGAGAGCGCCTTTGTCCTCAGAAACGTCAGTATCCTTGTGGCCCTGCCGGACCTCTCTAGAGTCTCCACCTCTCAGCTTCTGAAGTTCTGAACATATTCCCATCTCACCTTTCCTATCATTGTCCCGTCGCTGAAGCTACTTGGTCACAAAATCTGGGCCGCGTCTAGCGGCCTGGATAGACGGGCTCAGGGAACTGTTCCCTTAATCAACCTCTCACTCTTCTAAAGCTCTGATAGTTCACTTCAATTGAAAGTGAGAATCGAGTCCCAGAGTTGTGGCAGTGGCATCACCACGCTCCTCTGGGCAAGTCGAAGGGATAATCGATAGAAGGCGCCCACGCCAAAACCTTTTCGGTTTTGGCCGCCCAAAGTTTAGCCGTTTGGTACTCCGGGCCCAATGACTTGCATGTGGGGTACTACAGGCCCACGCGTCACTCCAAGGGCCCTACCGGATCATGAATCTGGTGCATAACAGCGCCAGATTCATTTTGATGTAAATGAGGCCGGCGGCGGTGACGCTGAAGTATCGAATGAGGCCCACGTACGCGATTTTGTAAAAGAAGGGCCCTACCGGTTCATGAATCAGGCGCAAAAACAGCGCCAAATTCTTGAACCGGTAAAAACGGACCCAGGGAGATGTGGCCACGGCGCGAAGGCGCCTTTCACCCAAGGCAAAGTTGTTTGGGCCTGTAGTACCAAACGACCGAACTTTGGGCGGCCAAAACCGAAAAGGTTTCGGCGTGGGCTCTTTCTACCAATTATCCCCAAGTCCAACCTCACCTTTGGCTACGTGTCCATACCTCGATTTTCCCAACTCCAAGCATTTGGATTGACAAGTCGGCATAAACGGGTGCAAGCAAACGGGAGCGGACACAGGCGAACCTCGGTGCCTGGGGCACGGATTCCAAGTACAGATCCTCAGTGTGACCTATGTGCCTGAAGGCAGCATGCCAGCAACATAGACTAGCGAATGTGTCCTAGCCGTGACATGCCTGTATAGCCATGATTTGCGCAAGGACAAAGCTCGTAGGGATATGTCGGAAGTTGTGATCCTATCTACTAGATACTGATAAAGCGTGCCCGCGTTGTCAAGCCATGCATTTGTAATAGTAGCGGCTTTCGGGATAGTCAGCTTTGGTGTAAAGTAATGTAGCAGCAACACCCATAGCTGGTCTTCAAACGCTTGGCTGTGAAATCTGAGTTATTAAGGGTAGAATTGTCGTCAGGGCAAGCTCAGAGGGAAGAAGAGCAATCTCTTGATATCTGGGGTACAAAATACTCCTTGTCCTGGGGCTTACATCATTATTGAAGAGGAAAACGTCCAATTACATTCGCGGGAAGTTACGGCCTCAAACTACCCTTCCTGTCTCTTGTTTGCTAGAGGACTGGTTTCTACTACAAGCTAATATGGTCGAGCCAGTTGAGTGTAATACGGTGTAACCACTGGACTAGAACCGTGCGCAGTAGGACCCGTATTCCGACTTTTATTATGCTAGCCAGTGAAGGACACGTGTAACAGGAACAGACAACTATTATTCTGTCATTTCCAGAAGGCCCTCCTGGTCGGGATTCAACTCGACTGTGATCCAATTCCCTGGTTTCATCGACAGCAAGGAAATAACTGCTCGCCCTTTTCAGGGAATCTCTTGCCCCATTCAAACATCCCACACGGTCGATTCCCTACTGATTTCGTATTTAGTAAGTCGGGGATTACCCTTTCACATTGTCTCACGTGCGTTTCGGTTGGGTTTGGGAACGCAGCTTTTTGTCATGGAGGGCAATCAACGTGGGGGGGAGAGACAGGAGGACGTTCACGAAGAACTCTCGGATTCCGAACGATCCAGACTATGGAAACTATTTGATGATTGCTATAGACAACGAATTCTCTCATCTAGTCTCTGCACGGCTCAATTCACTAGAGTCATCAGAGAACCGGATCGTGTGAGAATCAAGGTAGACCCGAGAGTATACCTAATGGCTAAGGGAGCATGTGATAATGGTTTTCTTAGGGCAAGCAGTTGTCTCCCCTCCAGTCGATGCCAAACGCAGGGCCATAAGACTCTAGTATGTGACGCGCAAACCTCACGCCCTGTGCTGTCTTCCGTTCGGAGTGTTAGCTGTGCGGAAAAGAAGCCCAGAAAAACAGCAAGATGGGGTGTGCCACGGATTTTTGGAAATTGAGTGTGGGGACACAGACGGAACTGAAATCCCCCGTGTTGGTCCGATGAAGCGAGTCGATTAATTTCGCGCGTCGCGGAATGCGCGCGCGGACATGGCGCGAAAACAGAAAGATCCAAATTTAATCCAAAAAGTATTGTCGGGCTTCCCACCGGGCTACAACCCGTCGTTTAGAGCGGAAAGGCTTTGGCACGCTTCGCGTGTCCCATTTCCGTATCAAGTCCCGTAGTCGTTCGCTGGTTAGTTCTGAGTCCGACGTGGACGGTTTTAGCCGTGTGGCTCTCACCTTGTGCTCGTCTTCACTCCGTATCTGGTAGTGGAAGCCTTTCGATTCATAGCGATCGAAACGCTCGCACTCGGTGCATAAGGTTCGAGGCCAATGAGGCGCCACTGTCGTTCACGGAATGACGATCAATTCGTTAAAGGGGAGCAATATGGAGTAGGGTGGGAAGTGGGTATCAATATTGACAGAGCCCGCATCTACGAATCCAAAACAACGTTTTACGGGAGGGAAGAAGTACTGTCCGCCGATTCGTGCGACGGCTTCTCGTACATCCCACTCACATACACGTGTCCTTTCCTCGTTATAGGGAAAAGGCCGCGACGGAACGGGGGATACGGGAGGCTGGCGCCTGATCGAAGGATACTGGTCAGTCCACATATCAATCAATTGCAAAGACCTTGAGAGGTCACCAAGGGAAGAAAACGCTCGCGCAACTTACACTCAATTCCTTTCGATTCGAGAGGGAGAGAGAGTGAAAAGAAAATGCGTCCTTAGCTTGAAGCATGCATATACCGGCGAGCTCTATTCGTGGCTCGAGTTAGTGAGCCTACGCAGCGTGTGGTTCGACTGTTGATGTCGTGCTGCATAAGGCAAGGGGCATGCGCAACACATTCAGAGCTACAGATCTAAACACTCTTGCATTCTCGAAGAGAATCGCGACGACGATCGTCTAATCAACACGAAAAAGAAAGAGTCACACATTTCCATACATGCATTCTCTGTTCACAAGACAAGAAGGCAGGGTCCTTGCGTAGGAGGATTACCCGGGAAACTAATGGAAGAGTTCCGGAAGAAGTTCTTTTACACAAGGGAAGCGCACCGATTCGCTCCTACTCAGGAGAGAAAGCGAGAGACAATTAATCGAGACACATCATTATTCAAAAGTAGAGAAAAGAGGGGGGAGAGGGAGAGAGAGAGAGAGAGAGAGAGAGAGAGAGAGAGAGAGAGAGAGAGAGAGAGAGAGAGAG